CTCTGGGAACGAAGGGTCAACTGCGCATGGAAATGCCACGGGCCGATCAGCGAATTTCAAGTCCATTGACCTGTGCGTAAGGTGACGCTGTTTCGCTAGCCCAGAGAAAAACAAGCGCACAAGCAAAATCGACCGAACGCGGTTGCACTCGCAATAAGCAATATACGTTCGCATACGGAGCCGAAACGCCGAGAGGCTTATGGTTTGAAGTCGTGTTTGCCGTCTGGCTGGCATTACACACGGACAGCCGGAGAAGAGCGATATGTGCGCAGGCCTGCTTGCACAATGGAAATCCAGCTCTCGCTATGGGATTGTCCATGGCTGGCTGCAACGCTGCTAAGGACAATTTCTTTCCAGAGAATTTTCGGAGCCGCGTGGGCTCTGGGCAAACGTAGCCAGTTCGCGCGTCGATTCGCTGCTATCGCTGGTCGCTCGATGTTGATACTGGGTTTGCTAGACTCAACCTCGTCGGCTCGGCGTTACATCGATTTCGAAAAATTCGCCGCTTCGAACGACACTCGCCGGGAGAAGAATTCCTGCGACCCCTCGCGACATCCGTCTTTTCTGCAAGCCACGCCAGTCAGCGAGTTTGCAGACGTCAGTCTTTGGCTTGGTTCCCAAATGAATCCCCGAGATTTCCCCGAAGCGCCAAAGGATACTCCCAGCCCGCTCTTGGCAAATATTAACGTGGGAGAGAGCGGGAGACAGACTCGCGTTTCACGCCCAGCTGGCTTCGATTTCGATCGTCTGAGATGGAACAACATGCCCGAGCCATCGCTTGTTTGCGCTTGTCAACGAGCGGCTGAGCGTCAGGAATATGCGATGCTGGTAGCTCCGATGATCAAGCGCATTTCTTTTCGCTTCGTTAGGCTTTGCGCCTTCTTCATCCGAGTGACTTGTGCCTGCTGGTTTCGCGATTCCACGCATTTCCGACTGAGAAGACGAATCCTCGAACGTTTGGCTGTTGGCTCGTGAGAGCAAAGAAAAGCGAGCCCAGAAATCGACTGTTCTATCGCGTTCATGGAATGGAAATGGGAGCCCGAGCGGGGACGCAAATTCTATCGATGGGTCGCAGTGACGCAATGTACAGCATCAGAAAGAGCTCGCGCCCTTTGACGCCTCTCCGAAGAAGAAAAAAGACGATCGATACGCGCCGACCTTGCAAAACGCTTGCCTCGCTCGCTCTCTTGGGAGACGGTAAACGCTGCAGTACGTGCGCGACGTTTTCATTAGAAATTCGAGAGAGGCGAAAAACGCTCTCTCGAGCCTCTCCGACCCGCTGCTGCTGCTGCTGCTGCTGCTGCTGCTGCTGCTGCTGCTGCTACTGCTACTGCTGCTGCCACTACCGGTGCTGCCGCTGCCGGTGCTGCCACTGCTTTTATCGGCTTGAATCTGCCTCGATAAAGGAACTCCAAGATTGCCTTGGATTTGACTGCTGATGGGATTTTGATTTTAATGGAAATTTTCTTCTTACTCCAGGCCCTTGAAAGCTACTTCGAGGACGATCGATTTTTCCATGAGGCGTGAGGATTTTCTGGATTTGCTAAATGACAAATCCTCGTTTGCTCGTCCCCGCTTGGGTAGACGCTGCTGCCGGGAATAGGCTGCATCCTGAGTTTCTCTTTGAAAGATGGAAATACAAATTTACGCTGACTCCGCCAACTCTAACGAAATCAGACTGATGTGCAGACTCTCGCACTAAAGTTTTCCGCGGTGGGTAATTCTGAAAAAAAAAGTGCTGTCAACGTCGTTGCAGAAGAAAAAAAAGAAAATCGCGCGCCAGAACTTAGAAACAGAGACATAACCTGACATGTCGTTGCTAAAACGAACGAGGGAGGCGAAAGAGAAAGCTAATTTAAGAGCTAATGCCTATGGCAAAGGAGCTTTTAGAGTGAAAAGTCGTTTCGCGCGCCAGGCGAAAAGGCAAACACGTACATACGAGACAGCCTCTTGGCAATTAGCCGGCGCCCTGTAAATGTGTGGGATGGGAGCAGACCCTTTGACTTACCGCGAACTCCATAACCACGAGAACACCTTCCTGCATTTCCTCTCTCCGTGCGCGCACTCGTCGCGCGTGCTCCAGTTCTTTATCATATTTCACTGGAAAGATCGCCCTTCTCCTCTGTGTGTCGTGAGCTCATAGCGATGAGTTGCGATGTTTCATTTTCTTTAAAAGATTCAGATTGATATTTCACTCAAATGTTCAGCTCAAAATCCAGTGCCGCGTGTGCGGAGGTTACTTTTATTTTGCTTTTCATTTCAAAAGTTTTCTTCGGACACTTTTTCTAACGTTGTTGGAAAGGGCCACGGTTAACGCAATTCTACCGATGCTTCAGTATCTAATCCAGCTGACGAACGCAACTTTCTTACTAGTAAAAGCGAAGAATAAATGAATTCGCTTTCCGATAAAAAATGCAAATCGAAGATCACAAGTGAACTACTTAATACACTCGAGACATCAATCGAACCAGCAGACATACATCTGTGAACTTTTTCATTCTTTCGTCTCTTTCAATTTCTTGCGCGAGGGAGCACATATCCGTGCTATATATAGCTGCGCATGCGGGACGTAAAATAGAAGAGCTGTCGAAACAGCAGATTGGGCCGCGAAAGTGAATATAAGTGAAAAGCATAAACGTGTTCTCTCTCTTTCTCTCTCTTTCTCTCTGTTTCTCTCTGTCTCTCTCCCTCTCCCATCAACTTTTATCTCTCTTTTCGGCACGTCTCTTTTTACTACTCGCTGCTCTAACGTTTATGTATGGCAAATGCGTGTTTTTTTGTGTGAATGATGAAACTAAGTATGGATTTCCGTGTCTGTCAAACTAAATATTTGTAAGCTTCAGTTAAATTCAAAATAAGGAAGTGTCAATTATAGAGTGTCAAAAGAGTGCAAGTAGTATGAGAGGATTATAATCAGACAATTAACGGATTTCCACCGTCAACAAGATAAATTGAGACAGTTATTGGCTAAGGAAAATTGCATTGCAATCATATTACATTCCTTCCTGATATTTTTGCTTTAAATGACAAATCACTGAAAATACATTTCTATTCTTATTTTCAAAGAAACTTGAAAAATGCTCAAGTAAAAGAGGAATTTTAAAAAATAGCGAAACGGTTTTTAACGCATGAAAGTAAAGTTAAATAGTATATCCAATTTTGATTATTTAAAACAAGCTCAGATATTCTGCTCAAATGCAGCAGAACGCATTTTCATTCCGAGTCAATGGAAATAAATAGAGTAAACAAAATTAATTTTGCGTTGTATATGACGATTTAATTTTAATCGATATTACGAATAAAATTTTCATTTGCCGTTGTAATTTTTGCTTATACTGCGCAGAAAGTTTGATAACTCGATAATTGATACCTAATCGAACTTGGAGTAGCAAGTACTGTGACGAATAAAATCTTGGACAAGGACAATATGAGGTGCGATTTCTAAAAGAAAAAGTAAAGTGGCGTAAATGAGGAGAAAGCCCAATGGAGCGAGTGAAGTTGAGTCGCTGAACGAGAGATAAGGAAAATCACCACTTAGCCGAGAGAGAAAAATGCGCTCTGCTGTTGATTAAAGTCCTTATTTAGAACTCTTTCAAGACGCCAATGGATGGAATACCGGAGAGAGCTAGAGAGCATGAAAAAAATAGTTTCCTTTTTCTTTCTTCGCTATTACTAATGTTCATTCCCTCAGAGATAGCTGAAACAAGCGAAGAGAGCTCGTCGTCGAAACTCGCTTCTTTTGGACTGTTGCAGCGCAATGTAAGAAGTAGCTGCGCTGGACGAGTTGGATTTTTCAGGAATTACGTCTTTTCAACGCGAGAATTTCACATTTCGAGCTAGTACTTTTCAACGTACTAAGTTACATTTCCCTCCTCAGAGATCCAACACATTATTGCAAAATCTCGGAAATTTTGCCCTGCGTCTCTCAGTGCGAAACTCCATCCTCGAGATTAACTCGAAGCAGCGGGAAAGAATAATTTTTCGAGTAGTCGGCGAGCATTAGTAAAATCCCTTCGCGCTCGAGAAAATCGCCTTCTCCTTTTTTTCCTCTTCCCGCCGGCGGTGCTTTATTTATGCCTTCATTTCGAATTCCCTCGTCAAGACAACAACGAACAGGACGAGCTCTTCTCTTAGGGATTGCAAAACATTTCTGGGATCTCTGCGCCTGATCCCAAAAAGAATAAACTTGAAAACAAAAGTTTCTCGCGCAGGCTGATTACATCGGCGTACGCTGATCTGCAAAAAGCTCATTTCATCCGCGCAAGCGAGCATTTGATGCGTACAAAACTTACCGTCCCTTCGTTAAAGCCCAGCAGTTCGTGAAAAATGAAAAAAAATCAGAGAAAAGCCAGTGCATTACAAAGTTTCGATTGTAAGTTTGGCCTTTATTGGTCTGTTGAGACTGCTGGTGGTAATGGATGAGCTTCGAGACTGATAAAGTTTCCGAACTTAATTGGCGCATGGCAAGATTGCAAGAGAGATAATTAATTCATCGAGTATGTTCGATTCACCGACACGACTTACAATTCTAAGACGCTCTAGTCGCATAATCAATTTCTTTTTCGCGTCAGTTTTCAACGACGTGCACTCTCACTGGAAAACAAGCGTTCCTCGTCAAATCCTCGACCGAAAGAATAAGTCATTGACGAAGGACAGGGAGAGAAAAGAACCCTTTTCCACGTAAAAAAGCGAAATTCTCTAGCAACATCTTCGCTCTCTCTCTCTCTATCTCTCTCTCGCTTGACCCACTTAACCCACATCTGGCGACCTGCATTTTTAAAAAGCCCTAGCTCGTCCACCCTTCTCCCCCTCCCCCCTCCGAAAAGTAGTAGCGGAAAAAGTGAAGAAGGAAGTACAAGCAACCCCCCGTCGACCGCTACACGTCTGCGCAGACGCGACACGCGTTGGGGGTTATTCGAATCCACAGTGCGGCGTTGATGGCGAAAGCTTTTGCTCTCTCTCTCTCTTTCTCTCAGTGCAAGTCGCGTCGCGACGCCGAACGCATCGTGTACCCGCGGTGCTGATATTACAATCACGCCACCGCGCGTGATTGCAAGCTTTTCTTTTTGTCGATGTTGCTGTTGCCAAAGTGCCCATAAATGTGATTGTGTTGGTTGTGCATCGCGGAGTGTGATTCGTTTGTGCCGAATGGTTTTGGTTATTTTGTTGGCATGACGGTGAATGTCATGACGATACGCTGACGATTGCTGAGTATTATTCCTTCGAATCATGGTAAAATCATTGTTGTCTTTATGCTGCTTAATTTTTCGAATTGTTGAGATATGTAAGAAAAAAAAGAAAAGACAAATGTTACAATCTCGTGAAGCAGAATTTTTCCAAGTACAATGACGGTTGTTTCAATTGCTCGATCGATTGTAGAAAGAAGTTGTTTCACAAACATGCTTCAATTAAAAAATAATTCCAAAGAAAAATTGATAGAACCAGCATAATCCTCTTTAGGTAAAAATTAGCGAGGCGCCGTAGGACGAAAAAAGGAGAATCGTTTCATCGAGTTATAAAATTATATAATTATACGCGGGGGTCTCTAGCGAAATTAAAATTGACACGTCGAAAAAAGAAATTGAATCAGCGACCCGCGCGCCCGTCTCGTAAAAAGAGGAGCGAGAGACGCGCCGCATCGTTTTTGTCTGGCGCGTGTCATAATGCACGCGCGAGCCCTAATTAGCCGCGACCTTTTTTTACTTTTCGACAAAAAAAAGAGCCGTACGCACACTCGAGCGAGCTTGATTGACGAAATCCAATGTCGTGGCGTTATCGGGGAAAATTTTGCGGCAAAAGAGAGGCGCCGACCGAGCGCGAACGAGCACTTCCTCTTTAACGCCGTGACGCGCTCTCGCCGCTTTAACGAGAATTTTTTTTGGTCGACCAGGAAGCGCCAGTTTTTCCAAAGCTGACGCTCGCAAGTTTTGCGGCTCTTCATTTGCCTCTTTCTGTTTATCGAAATGCGAATTCATATTGCCGGTGAATTGTTCCCAGTGCGCGTAACGAACGACTGGCTGTTTTGGACGAGGTAAGCATTTTGCTCGGGAAAAGTCTCTGCGCGCAAGAATAATTGAACGCAACATATCCCAACGAATACCCGAGTCGACGAATCGAGCAATTCGTCATCCAGCCGCGAAAGTACACGGCTGCACGTTCAAATAAACTAGTCAACGTACATTTATTTATTCCGCCTCGAAAAGCTTATCGGCTATCATTACTCAAAGAGTCTTTATTTGCCAAAACACATATACGCAAAAAGAGTTGTCCGAGCAAGCGTAGGGCTGCAATTAAAAAGGCGGTGCGAAAAAAATGAATTGTCTCGTAAATCAAGTGGCGCGGAGTGGCGAGCTTACTTTTTTCGGGATTCCGCTGATAGAAGCGCGCGCGTAACATAATTCGCTCGGCAAACAGAAGCTTTTTGTTGTTTGTGCTCGACCCTCCCCCATTCGCGTGTTTGCCGAAGTCGGCGAGGTTTTGGAAATGCAGGCCTCGACAGTTTACAGGTTTATTTGCTTGGCGAAACTTGGTGCAATTGCCTTTGTCGGATTTCATTATGTAAACGCGCTTTCGTATATCATCGCGTTCACATCGTTATAGACGACATTGCGTCATTTTTATCATTGCGCAATTGTAATGTTGATCAAGTTGTTAATTATGTGGTAACGAGCGCTAATAAACAAAGAAAAGTATGAAACGAATTCGATATTTAAACGATAGTAGTGTGCGTCCATTATATTCCCTCGGTTCATTACGATTTTACGAGAAATACTTGCAAACAGAATTATCGTAAAACGAGGGAATATGTAGAATTTACGGCCGCTTCGTATTCGTAATGATACTTCCAAACGCGAACGTACGAAAAAAGCAATGTAATAACGAAAATTGATCGGCAGCGAAAACAGCGAGAAGTACATAGTTCTTCGATCGAGAGAAGGCTTGAACGCTCGCGCGAAACCCATTACTCGGGGGACGACAAATTTGCCTTTTAAGTGGGCGTCGTAGATTTATCGACCTTGGAGCGAGAGAGAAATCCTTGATCCTAATTCGCGTAATACCCGCGCCAGCGCCTAATCTCGCGAGCAAATCGAGGATTCTCTCTCTCACTCTCATCTACAACTCAAATATACGAGTTACGCCGACGGCCGATTTGCCAAGGTTGAATCGTTATTGGCAGGTTTGACTTTGCCCTCGCGACTGTTTGCTTCTCGTCGAATTTTCCGTTGAAAAAAAATTAATAGCAAGTGGGTTATTGGATTATCGTCGAGCATTACAATATAATAGTTTTTGGCCTCAAGGGAAATACGCTGATTCGCTCAACGAGCGTTAATGTTGTTGCACGGTTAGGCGCGGGGAGGGGGGGAGGGGGGGCACGCACGCGTTCGTTCAATAACAGTGAATTAATGCAATCAAAAACTCGCTCCGACAATAAACAGCACCGTCGCGTTCATACAGCTTTAATTTCACAATAGCCAAGTAGAAAATCTCTGGAATCATTCAATCTATTCTGCATCGCAATGCGCAATCTAATCTTTCCATTGACGAACGATAGAAAAAAAAACATCTAAGCTCAGCGCGAGAACAATGCCGTAAGGTCCAGTAGTCGGGATCGCGTTAATTAGGTTCGCTAATTTGTGCAGTCGCGCGTGTACGCGAGTGCACGTGAGCTGTGAATAATTACGTATCGCCGCGCGTTGTCGCTGATAATCCTCTGCCACGTACATATAACGCGCGTTACATTACCCGAGTTTTCATAATTCAGCATCAGTTTATGATCCTATCCTGTATCTATGTTGGTCGGATAACAAACCGACATCGCGCTTGTATACGACGTCGAACTACTCTCGCGTATCGCGTTACGCTTTTCTTGCTCGGCTTAACGAGCTTTTTTCTCCTCGCTACTTTCGCAGTCATTATAGCTGATGATGTGCATTTTTCGTTACCGGTGGCAGTGATGGACTTGGACCTTTTTAATTCTGCGTTACCTTTACTTTTCTGTTCTATTTATCGTTGTTGGTCGTTGTCATCGTTCGCGGATGACGAAGTGTACTCCGATGTATTAAATAAAATAATTATAGGCACGATATTTTCCGCGCCACTGCTGTTTCCCTGTTTCCAATTTTTCCGACAGCGGCATATACGTCAAATTTTTTTCGCTCGTCGTTTCGGTAGATGAATTTCAGTACTTTCCCAGTGAGGTATCGCCATTAATCGAGATAGAGATGACGCGGAAAAAAAAAGAACGAATGGTCGTCGCACTCGTTACTTCGTTTCGGCGTCGTCGCTGCGCCACGAGGATTTTCGAATTTTCGGCAACGAGAGAAAGCGCGCGGAGAGGATCGTTACGGCTCCGACGGCGCGAAATATACGACAGCCGTCAGCGTTTCGAGATTGACGTTGGCCCACGGCTATTCTCCCTCGCACGCGCAATGTCGCAGGTCGCGCGCGCAAATGAAAGTCGCCACTCCCAAAAAAGTTGATTTCCGCGGCAACAACGAAAAAACTCTGAAACTCTCCTGCTTGCGCTCGGTCCGCGACAAATTGCACTCGTCACTTTCGTTTTGCCGTCGATGTATCGCTTGCCCGGCTGACGTAGATCGAATTTTTTCCGACTGCTCGGCAAGCGTGACTCTGGACGCGAGGCGATCGCCGAAGAAAGTCGCTACTTCGCGGCGGCGCGCCCGCGGTAGCGCGAGATTAATCGTGGCCAGTGGGCAAAAAGTCGCCAAGAGACAAATTACTGATCAATGGGAGAGCGCGAGCGGGACTCGACAGCGCGAACGACGCCCGCGGGTACGTTTACGCGGGGATCGGGCTTAATCGCCGCGCGGCCCACGCGCCATGTGCTTGTTAAGCGATTATCGGCCAAGCAGCGCCAACCTCGTTCGCGCAGCGATCATTTTTCGTCGGCGGCGCCGTTGTCCCGGACTGCTCGCACCTCGCGGCCCGGGCATTCTGCAAATAACAGTCCCTTTTATTCTGTTGATCCCGGATTACTTGTGTATATCGCGGGCTTGTTTACTTGACGGCGCGCGTTGTTTTTCGATTTCCTTTTTTCCTGCTCGCCTCCGCTTTCGCTGTGGAATGCAAATCAAACAACGCCGAATCGCGGGCTCTGCAAAAATTGCCTTCCGCCAAACGCTGCGTCTCCCCCGCGCAGCATTGCTAACTCAATTACCGCAGCGCGACATCGGTATCTGTAGTTGGCTTTGTTTGCCGTCGCGGACGTACTTCGTGGGGCTAGGGGGTAAGGCATTCGTTTGATATTTGTATATTCAGCTGCAATTGGTCCGCCGCAGAGGTAGCTTTGTCGTTGAACTATAAATTAATTAGCTTCAAGTGCAGTGCAGCTATTTTCGCGGAAATTGCTCATGTTAAAGTATCGCTCGCCGGTCCGCAAAACGTAATTGGCAAAGCGCAATGCCGGTCCGGCTAAACACGCTAACACGGAAAGAAAGCTGTGTTCCATCGAGACCAGCCAAATCGTGTGACTGGATCAACCGACTCGCGGACAAGTCCCGAACAAGAAAAAGCCCGCACAAAGCAGAACGCGTGGCTGCAAAAGTCCATCGATTATTAGAATGAACCTTCTCTCGCGCATTTGCATTAAAGCCAGTATCAAGTGCGATAGCCTTATTAGCATCTCATAACGTGGCCAGGCCAAAACACGCGCTTGCGTGTAGCCTAATCGAACGCAAGCCTATGTATGTATGTGCACTCTCGAATTTCATTTAGCTAGCCGCACCGAGCGAAAGCGATGAGGCCAGCAGCGGCAGCTTTGTGCATATCAATGTGCCGTGTATGTGTATAGATATATACGCTCTGGGAAAAGGTGATGGTATAGAGCTAGCGAGAGGCGAAAGGGCGGGGGGCGGGGGGTTTGAAATTTTTGCCTGGATTTTTGTTTCAACGAGGTCTGTGGGCTACCAAGGCTCTGATCAAGCCCAGAGAGGCGTTGACACGCTGCTGCGGCTTGATTGCACTGTGCGGTAGAACTTTGGCTTTGCTTTTTGTTTAGTTGGCGGATTTACTATCTTCGTTCTTTATACTCTTCTTTGTTTTGGCTGTGCGATGAAAATTCGGTGGCGGTAGTTCAGCGCTTATTTCTTTTCGATTGTCGACACTTGAGCGATGCTAATTTGTCGAGCTTCGCCTTTGCCGTATAATTAACGTTTTGAACGTGCGAGTGACGTTGGCGGTATTTACAGCGCGCGTCGAGGCGTCGAGGCGTC